CCAGAGGCATGTAACAGGAAAGAGACTGAAGGACAACTGTTTCCTTTGTGACCAACTCAGCAATGAATGGCTGGAGGGCAGCTTTTAAACACCACACAGGCACACACATTGCCCAACGTAATGTTCTAGAATTGCATCCATGCCCATTAAGATACTTAAACCGGCACAGTACAGATCTCATCTATTTTATGGATTCCCTTTCCCTCTCACAGGGGTATTATTTGGAAAATACATTGCAGAATTATGCCAGGTGTAGATACGCCAGTGGTGGGAATGCAAACTGATGTTCGGCTGGAGTTGCCAGGGTGGGTCAAATGGGTGCAGACAGAGGGATCCTTGTACAGGGCTCTTCTCAGATACATAGGACTTAGCAAGCCAAGGGAGATGAAGTGGTTTCATCATGTGTCACAAAGTATATGAACAACATAGCCCAAGTAACTCTTGAGAACAGAGGTGGGGAACATACATCCCTTTAAATGTGTGTGTGGGGTGGCTGGGTGGGCATTATAAGCCCCAGACAGCAGATAAGGGGTTATGAGAGATGGGAGTCCAAAAACATCTGGATTGTTCTGAGATAGAAAAAAATGGCATTTTACACTCTGACTCCAAAAGCGTACCTGAGTGACTGAAGAATCGCATTCATGAAACAGGTGTTCCCTAAATTTCGAAGGCCTGTAGCACACAGAGCTGTGCTGCTCCCCTGTGAAGGACAGACAGAAATCCAAACAGGTAAATAGCATCCTACAATTGCCATTCCATCACATTCAATCCACCTACTCTTCAAATTAGCCCTTCCCTCCAAATGAGAATGACATAAAAATAGAGACCTATACCAGGTTTTTAAGTACTGAAAGAAGCTTTCAATCAAAACTAATGGGGTGCAGTAAATAACAGACTTGATTGTGAATAATGAGCTAATGGGGTGCAGTAAATAACAGACATCAGACCTTAAAAACAGCTCATGAAAAGGCACCTGAAAAATCACATACGCTGCAGGGCCTCCATGCCTAGGTGGGAAGTACATCCTCATACAATGAGAGCTTTCACACAATTCCAGTCAGGCTAAGGCTATAAATAAATTACAAATAATAGGCAAGAATTATTTTTCCTACATCTTTGTGTAAGCAAAGCAGCATTATTTGTTTTATCTGTATCCTATCTGTATGTCAGGTTGGGAAACGTTGGCTTTGCTGCAGTTGTGTGCATTTAAGTAATTTCCAACTTATGGCAGCTCAAAGGTGAACCGATCACAGGGTTTTCTTGGCAAGATTTGTTCAGAGGGGATTTGCTCTTGCTTTCCTCTGAGGCTGAGAGTGTGTGACTTGCCCATAGTCACCCAGAAGTTACATGAAGAATCTAAGACACTAATATGGAAAGGTGCTCCTATGATGAATGAGATCTGGTGAAGAATCATGATGTTATTATTTCCATTTCAATGAGCTTATCCACAACTGTAGAATACCTACATTTATTTTTAACAATTTGCTGTTGAGAGAAGAGTTTTCCATCAGTTTTCTTTTCCTATGTCGGTCTGCTGTAAAAGCTGAGCTGTAAGAAGGAATACATTGGTCGTTAGAGCATGTTAAGGAATTCAAAGAGAAGACATTAAAGACAAACATGGTCCTAGTGTCTTAAAAATTCCACATTTGCATCTACAATGCTATTTTTACATGCAACAGAAGGTCCTATCATTGGTTATAGGAGCTACAAGACGACACTAACAGTTGTCTTGCAATAGATTCCCATATCCCCCAGAGGAGTCTCAAATCCAGTTGTATTTTCAATAGCATGTAATCAAATAATATCCAAATTAATCTGATTAGGTTACGCTACAGCAGGCACCCTTGAGCATGTCCTGATTAGAATTAAAACTTCCAATCTGAAAGAGAGATGAGAAAGAAGTTGAAAGGAAGGCTGGATATGATGAAAGACCAGGATTGGTAGATAGAGAGAAGAGAGAAGTAGTTGAAGGGAATAGAAGGAGTGTATGTAGAAGGGTGAAAGGAATGGAAGAAGAATGATGAGTTGGGAATGGAAGATATAAAGAGGAAGAAGAGAATAGGATAGGCTGTTAGGTGCTAGTGATAACAGTTTGTAGGTAATTCAATGCAAAATAATGAATTAAGACAACATGAAAAATGATAATAGGATTTACAGGAAGACACAAGAGTTATTTGGTTTGTTAAAGGCTTTGTGTATAAGATTTTATATAGCTTTCCCTATTAATATTTATTTTGCTAATTTGAAATCAGATGTTGATGATGTGAAAAAGAGATGATGTACTTTTTTGAATGTATTATTTTAATTAATAAAGTTTATTTAAAAAAAACACCTTCCAATCTGAAATAATCAAATGATCAAAGGCCGCTTGGCAGAGAATTCCCAAGCAAGCCCATCTCCGCTCATACAACTGTTCTCTCTAAATAGAATTGTCAAGCTTTCAACATTAGCCAAGGGAATGTGCAAAGCCCAAACAGGCCTCCGTTTGGGGTTCCAGATCACCCAAGTCAGTTTGGCCTCTACGTCTATCTGTGATGGTAGGTGTTTAGAATTGTTCAGGGGGCACAGCAAGAAGGTATTTAGGGACATTCTGACACACACACACACACACACGGAAAACTTTTGCAAAATTTTGTTTTGACGCTTGGGGAATCCAGTGGGGCTCCAAACATGGTGGAAATGCCCTCCACACCTCTTAGAGATCATTTTTGGGCATCTTAGAATAAACATGTTTTTTCTTAAAAAACAAAAAACAAAAACGTTTTGACCCCTGGAGGGACAGACTTTGCCCAACCCTGGTTTAAAGGAGGGGAAAAGCACTTCTTGCAGCAAGATTCTTGCACTGTAACCTTCCCGTTTCTTGTGATGGTGCCAGGCTCTGGTGGTCCCTAAAACATAACACACACATACTCCCACCTCTGATATGCAGACAAGCTAAAAAGTAACACAGTCCTAATGGTATACAATCCACATCCATTTTCAAACAAAGGTGCATGCATTCAGCTTACTTTTCCAAATTTTGTAGGAGCTCTCTGACTTTCTGTACCAGGCCAAACTTGGTATCATTGACTACAAAGTCATCACAGCGATAACTGTAGAGAAACACAAATTTATCAGAAAACTGTCAGGCATCAACTAGGGCAGGGGTAGGCAACCTAAGGCCCGGGGGCCGGATGCGGCC